ATAACAGAGAAATTCAACTTTCATTTTGAATATAACATGCAATTGAGCACCATTAAAATTTAAGGGAGTAGTCTATGTACCAGTAAGAATATCTATAACCCGTAGTTCTTTCAGGCGGCCAGCTAGCACTAGTCCAATAGCAACTGTCCCATATAAACAGAGAAGAAAATGCCTGCAGATACGTGTTGAAAATTACAGGATAGTCAATGTAAAAGTCTCATCAACTTGGTCAGCAGTGTTAAATACAAAATCCTTCATAATGAAAGTTGAATCTTATGTTATTCACATACATATTTTTCACGAGCATGTGAAGTGAAGAGTAAAGACAGTGTCAAGATTAAACATACAAAAAAAGAACTCTCTCTAATAAGTCCTTATTTGGCAGAACTTTTTCACAATGACTTACGACTAAAAAGTACTTTCTTCAACAAGAATAAAGAGATCGGATGAGTTCAGGAATTAGGACAAGCTGTTGAAATTTTTATCTAGATTAGCTTTAATAAATGCTCTCAAGAAGCCAAGTTTAAAGAATCATTTCTCCACTAATGTTGTATCTCTCTCTTTTGCTCTGTGTGTTTTTTCAGTTTCTTAAAAAGCTCTTCTGCAGAAGAAACAGCTATTTACGTTTTCTGTTTTTTCCTGATATGTAATAAGTTCAAACGATGGCAACAATTGCATGAGTATTTCTCCAGGAGGAGTAGCAATAAAAGTGATCAAGTTCCACAAAGGTTAGCCAATAATATATGCTAGTGATGTGGTCTCATTTGCTGTGGTGGGAGTGGGAGTGGGGGGTTGGGGGGGAGGAAACGTGAGTATCCCCTATCCCCTTCCAAGGTTATGCAAAAATTAACAAGAAACTTCCATTGTGAAAAGGGAGAGTAAACAGCAAATATCCCCTATCAAAAAGGGCAATTCTTCACAGTGCATTGAAGGGTTGGTACCATGGATAAAAAGATGTTTCATCTCACGCCTTTGATGAAAAAAAACCATTACAATGACCTAAATGGTTTTTTTTGTAAAAAGAAAATAGAGAGATACTCAAAAATCTCACTTCAATAATCTAACCGCTATTCTACAATCAAAAGCACTGTGTAACATCTGAAGTTGACTGCAACAAAAACCATTTTAGATTTTGAAAGAACGCAGACTATCCACACATTCTTCTCATGGTGCTATATGCAGTTGCAGAAGCCTGTTTTCCTAAAGCCTTATTTCAGATGATGACTTCCTATGAGAATTACATCTCCCGTCCATATTTCAGAAATCATTTTATGAATGTGTATTGCATTTTCTCAAACTATTTCTCATGCATTTTTCTGAACCCAACTCACTCTACCTGTCCCCAGCATCTTTCTATTACTACCATGTTAACACAAGGTTAAATTAACACAGAAGACTAGTAAACAATGGTAAGATTTCTTTTTTTTTAAAAAAAAAAAATTGTAACTGCGCATGATACACCCCACTGCCTGTCCCAGGCCCCGGCAGTAGTGCAAGAAATTCGTGTATGCGATCAGACCTTAAACAGAAAGACCAATCAGTATCATTTGCTCACCAGAGAAGAAAAGCCATAAAGTATCTGGTGTTTCTCTCGCCTATGCAATTGTTCTGCAGTGATATTGAGAAACAGTATGAAAACCATAAGAACATATACAGTGAACATAGTGTTGATATAGAGTTAACTTGTATATATCTGAGAGATGGAAAAAAAATGGGAGAAAATAACAAACCATCCATCCACAATGATGATCAAATCGAGTGACACAGCGATCACAAATGCTGCAGTGCTTTGACCTAGCAGGTCTGTACTAGGAGAGGAAATAATGTTTAATTAGCTAGAGCCGTAAACTAGAGCATCAGAGCTTTAAACAGAAGAAACACACTCACTTTGGAATCTTGCAGGTTGGACATTCCTTTTCTGAGAATATAATATTGTCATAGGGATAAGCAGATAGATACTGCGAAACATTCTCAATATTTACAGTCCCTGGGTCAGAAAAGCTAGTCAATAGAAAGAGTAGAATACCCCCTCCAACTGCCAACAAGCTCGTGTACCTGCAATTTTATGTAATCTCTGTGGAATTCAAGTACATATATCTCGATAATCCACCAAACTAGTCAAGCGTTTTTTTCTTTTTTGGATAATGGTAAAAGTCTGCAAAGATAGTCAAGTTACAAACAAACTGATGCATATGAGAGCAACGTAAAACACAAAGATTCAACAGTACCTGTGCACTTCACCTAAGTAATACCCAGGAATGTACTTAAAGGCTGACTGCACAATAAAGTAGTAACTGGCTCCAATTATCCCCAAATAAATGAGCTGCGTTTAGTAACAGACAATTTTCAAATAAAATTTCTCCATATTCACAAAAGAACAAGCAACATGGAAACAGAAGAAACTTAAAAAACAAGGCAACTCTCATTGAGTCTCTCAAAGACTAGCCCCATTTCCAACGTAAGTACTACTGAATGCTGTTATTGTCATTTCAAATGATCCTCTTTGGAATGGAAGTTTCATTATTTGCCATCATTTAGTATTTCAACATTTGAAAAGCATACAGAAAATTTGTGAATATTAATGATACACTATGAGATCTACTTTTACACCTCTAAGAGCAATTTTAAATTATCCAATCTAGTGCAAGTAAATAGCTCTGACTCCACATCTTGTACTAAACTTAGAAATAAGAATATGTATTCTGAGTACATGCCTAGATATCATGAATCATGGTGCTAAACTCTTTTTTGTTCAATAGAAATACAGGCAAGACATCTCTAATTAGAATGGCAACAGTATTTAACATGCATTAAGCGACTATCAGAGAAAAGATTGTAGGCATCTATTTTACAGAAGACAGAGATGGACAAAGTGTGAAAAGAGGGCTCTCCTCCTCTCTAGAAGTCTAGCTGCCTTAGACAACGAACGTCAAACTTCTTTCGGGAAAAACCAGGATTTTCTATCATTTTAGGTTATTCCTGGTTCTTTATTATTTGTTGTGTCATTCGCTTCCATTACCCTATTACATTGCTGTTGCTATTGCTTGTTGCTTTATTTTTACTGTTACTTGAGCCGAGGGTCTATCGAAAACAGTCTCTCTACCTTTATAGGGTAGGGGTAAGGTCTACGTACACACTACCCTCCCCAAACCCTACTTATGAGATTAAACTGGATTTTTTATTGTTGTTGTATAAGCTAGTGTTTTCAATCTATAGAGTAACTTAAGCCAACCTCTTGCAGAAAAGCAGGGTAAGGCTGCGTACGATAGACCCTTGTGGTCCGCCCCTTCCCCGGACCCCGCGCATAGCGGGAGCTTAGTGCACCGGGCTGCCCTGCCCTTTTAGAGTAACTTAAGCCTATTTCTACAACAACAAGAATGTAAATTAATTCGTCGAACAATAAATCTTGATCAAATGGCAAATAAATTTAAAGTGGCGAGCTGTCAATTCTATGTTTGGATAGTGAATGTAATTCCCAGAAATATAAAACAATTTTCTCATTTCAGTGCATAAGGTTCTGATGTAAGAAGCACTTTTTGGATGCTTGTCCGGTGGAACGATTTGCAACGATCCCGCCAGTCGTTTTGTATATTTGAGTATCGTTTCCAATTTGATGCTTCTCGTGTGCTAGGTTGTTGTTCTGTGACTTGCAGTGATGGTTGGTTTGGTTCCGGGAAGGTTTTGGAGTGAATTGGAACACTTAGTTCCCATTTTGGAAGCTTAAGTTATAAGAGTTGACCAAAGTTTGACTTTTGTGTAAACGACCTCGGATTCGTGTTTTGATAGTTCCAATAGATTCGTATGGTGATTTTGGACTTGGGCGTATGTCCACATTGTATTTGGAGGTTCCTAGAATGATTTAGCTCTAATTGCGGAAATTGGCAATTTTGAAGGTTTAGAAAGTTCACAAGTTTGATCTTGAGTTGACTTTGAGGTTATCGGGTTCGGATTGTTATTCCGGGACTTGGAATAGGTCTATTTCGTCATTTGGAACGTGTGTTTAGTTTCATTCCGAGTTGGTTTGGTATGAATCGGACGCTTGGTTGTGGAATTTGAAGTTCTTGAACTTGAAGGCTTGCATGGTGTGTTTTGGTGTTTCATTCTTGGTTATGGATGTTATTTTGATGTCTTGAGCTCATGAGCGAGTTCGTACAAGGTTTATAAACTTGTGTGGATGTTTGGTGTGGGGCCCGAAGGGCTCGGGCGAGTTTCAGATTGATTTCGGATTGGTTTTGGGAAAGCTTCAGGTTTGCAGGTGTTGCAGACATCACAATTGCGATCATCACAATTGCGATGGTCCACTCGCAATTGCGAAGGTCCATAATTGCGAAGTCATGATCGCATTTGCGATGGGTGCCTCAGAAGGCCAGCTTCGTATTTGCGAAACTGGTATCGCAATTGCGACATCTGCATTTGTGAATGGAGTATCGCATTTGCGACACTTGGTCGCATTTGCGAAAACTGAAGCTGAGGGATCCAGTTCGCATTTGCGAGCCATTTCTCGCATTTGCGAGGCTCCCAATTGCGAACCCCTGGTCTCATTTACAACTTCTGCAGCTGACTATATTGGAGGAATTTCGGGACTTAGACCCATTATCTCATGTTTTGAACCCTAGACTTGGAGATGGCTGATTTTTTAAGAGAATTTCCACACAAGGCTTTGGGGCAAGTGATTTCTACTTAATTTTGATATTATATCTTGTTTTCCTATGGATTATTACACCTAGATTATGGGATTTGGAAGAGAATATTGGGGGATCTTGACTATGTTTTCCAAAAATGAAAAATGGGGATTTGGTAGTCGATTTGGACTCGAATTGGAATCTAATTACATATTTGAACACGTAGGGTTATGGCTAGTCGGGATCTACCCCTTCAGGGGCGGATGCACGTTGGTTGAAGCGGTGTCACGTGACACCGCTTCGTCGGGAAATTTTACTAAATATATGTAGAAATAATACATAAGAAAACGTATCAGCATATAAAGTCTTTAAAGTGACACCACTTGCAACGAAGTGCTCCCTGGTTCAATGGTTGAGCGCTTTACTGCCCAATCCATTGTCAATGGTTCGATTCTCGTAGCTTGCATTTTATGTGTTTTAATATTTTTTGAGCTCACCTGAAAGGGTCTAACTAGTAGAATGAACAACAAATAATTTAGTTAGTTACAACAAATATTTGAATGCTTCTACAACAAAGTTATTTTACTAAACTTAAAATCATAGTAACTGTCGGAAAACTATTACTTATTTCTCTACAATTTGCTTTGGGATTGAGCTCGTTGTTGTTCCCATTTAAGTTATCTTCCTACTTTTTTTCGTTTTTTTTTTCTTTTTGGTTAGGATTTCTTAATGGTATTCATTGTTTTTCTTTGTGGGCAAAATTCTATGATTTACTCAGAGTTTATTTAATTGATAGTTTAATTTGTAGTTCAGCTTAAATTTACTGGAGATATTTTTATAAAGTGTCTTTCAAGATTTCAAAATTAAATTCAGCATTTCAAAGTCGTCCTTAAAATTTGATCAAAGTAAAAATTTTAACAATTCGAAAATATCAATTAAATGACAATATTGCATTATTAAGAGCATATATTCAAGAAGGTCCTTTTCGACCTCGAAATCACATATTACTATGATTTGAATAGTTTTTCTTCTCCTAAAAGAAATCGTTTTCATGAATTTTTCATTGCTCGCTTCTTTAATAGTGACACCACTTAAGAAATATCCTGCGTACGCCACTATACCCCTTGACTCGGAATTTGACCGTGTGGGCCTGGGGTTAACTGTTGTTGACTTTTTGGAAATTGGGTAAAGATTGAAATTTTATTTTTTGAATTGATTCCTATAATAATGTTTCATGCTATTGATTTGTTTTTGGCAAGATTTGAGCCGGACATAGGTGATTTTTAAGAGAAAGGCTATTTTTATGGGTTGATTTGGATTTATTGAGGTAAGTATCTTGCCTAACTTTATGTGAGGGAATAACCCTTAGGATTTGGCCTTATTTGCCTAATTGTGTTATGTGTAAAGCGACGTGTACGCGAGGTGACGAGCGTGTACATGGGTGCTATGTGTGGTTTGACTGGATTAGACCTTAGGCTAATAATATGCCTTATTTTGATGACATGCTTTATATGAAACATGTTTAATCATTCTATGACTAAATGAACCTAGTTGCTATAATTGAGTTAGTTGAAGTCATGATTTACATGTTGAACACTCATCTGCATCATTATATTATCAATGTCCTTGTGCACCTTGTTGACGAATTATGAGCATATGTCTTTTGATGATAATTTGGCATATTGCAATGTTATGATCATGGCACATGTGGACATGTTGGGCGGATTGATTGGGTGTTGGCACGAGATCTTTGTCGTGCGATTGTGATGATATTGTGGCACGAGGTCTTTGTCGTGGGATTGTGATGATATTGTGGCAAGAGGTTTTGGCCGTGCGAATTGTGATTATTGTTATGCATGAAGTTGTTGCCGTGCAACGTGTGGATACGGCTCCATCCCCCTATAGTCGCCCTCTCATGTTTCTCTCGTGATGGTGTACACGCGAACTGTGGTATCATGATTGTTGTGATTGATTGTGATGTGTGGAGTATAAATGTGACATTTCACTATTGTTGTCTGGAGTATAAGGATGGCATTTCACTGTTGAAGACGTGTGGAGTATAAGGTGGCATTTCACCGTTGATATTCATGTGGCGGTATAAGGGTGGCATTCCTGATCATGCACATGCGTTTTTTATGCTTTGTCATGCATTTAGACATGTTTCCACTTGTATTTAACATGTTATTCTATGCCTTTGTTATCATTTGAAGATTTTGTTAGTCGGGATGATTTTACCTATGTTGAGTTGATATCTCCTGTTTTGTTGAGCTTCGGTATTGTATCTTGTTATATTCTTGTTGCCAGTTATTGGAGATACTGCATAGGTTCTTTGATTAGTGAGTATCAAATGACTTGAACCTCGTCACTATTTCACTGAAGTTAGTCTTAATACTTGCTGAATATATGTTGTCCCGTACTCATACTACACTTTTGCACGTTTTTGTGCAGATACGGGTGTTGGAGGTAGCGGGCTTCGAGAGTGAGCTTATGTCTATTCGAGAGGATTACTGCATGGACGCCACAGACCCTTGGAGCTATGTGTAGTTTGACTAGATTAGACCTTAGGCTTCTAATATGTCTTATTTTAATGACATGCTTTGTATGAAACATGTTTAATCATTCTATGACTAAATGAACCTAGTTACTACAATTGATTTAGCTGAAGTCATGCTTTATATGTTGAACACTCATCCGTATCGTT